GGACGAGAGGCGGCCGAGGGCCCTCTGGGAAAACACCACGGGCTTATCTGAGCCAGAACGAGGGGCGGGACTGCCCAGAGAAGGAACTCTGCAAACCTCCCTCGGAGCCTTGGTGAAAGCCGCCGAGGGCTCGGAGGGAAGCTGCTGGCCCTGCCACAGGAAGCCCTCGGAGGGAGGCCTCTCTGCCTCCCACGGCGGGCACGGAGCAGGTGTGGGCACGGCTGGCGTCCAGAGGAGTGTGTGTGGCTGCCCGGTGGCAGAGTCACCCGAGGTAGGAGACAATGGCCCGTGCCCCTGATCAAGCAGGGGCGGCGGGTTCAGCTCTGCTGGGGACTGGCTGCTGCTCCCTGGGGCCTCTCCCTCCGGCCCCTTCCTCTTTCTGCCTGTCTCCCCATGGCCTCTTTCTTTGCATTTCAGAGCTTCCTGCTGTGCTCCTCGGATGGTGGCACCCGGAGAAGCTGGGGCACAGTTGTTTTCAGGCTGGCTGTAGTACTTTCTTTTCTAATCTGGTCTCCGGGCCAGAGTTCTGTGGTGCGGCCATCTCTCAAGCAGACTGGCCCAGCCGTTCACACATGGAGCCCTCTGGACACTAACCTGGAGGACAGGGGGGTGGAGTGACCTTCTTGCCAGCCTGGGCAGGGCTGTGTGGCCTGCTGGGCTGGGCAGACCTGCTGGCAGCTGATCTCAAGAAGGCACGGGCTCAGCCTGGGAAGGTGGCAGTGACGATGGTCGAAAGGGTTCAGTCTGGGCAGCTGCTCCTGCAATTGGGAGGTTATGACCCACGTGGGGAGATAAGGTGGGGAGAGGAGGGTGTGTGTATGTGTGTGTGTGGAGAGAGACAGGGGCGGGGGGTGGGGGGGAGAGGGGAAAAGAACAGAAGAAAATAGTGTCTAAAGCTCTGGATTTTGGCGGTTATTATTGCATGAATAGGTGTTATTGAAGAATAATTTTGCAGATGGAGGTATTTTGCTCTTCAAGGCTTCAATCAGTGTTTCCCAAAGTGTGGTACGTGTACCCCCAGGGGTATGGGAAGAGTTTGGTGGGGGTACGCGTTGCACTGGAGTTTGGTGGGGATATGCACTGCACCGTGCTTAGCTGCACCTAATTCTACGTTCTCATGAGTACGAGGGGTACTCAGTGTTACGAAAATTATAGAAGGGGTACACATATGTCAAAAGTTTGGGAAACACTGGTTAGAGAATCCAAGTTAAGTGCCAGTTTAATTTTTTCAAGTCCAAGCTCACTTAACTCTGCGACTTTTGGTATCGTGTTCTAAATGACAAGGGTCAACGCCAGCTGAACTGAAGTTCGGTCAGGAGTGCCTGTGGTTTTACACACAGGGGCCCCTTCCCCTCTCTGTGCTGCCCCTGCTGCTTTGTGGCTCTCTCTCTCTTTCTCTCTCTCGCTCTCTCGCTCTCTCACTCTCTCTCTAGCTCTTGGTTTCTTCTTGTCCATCCACCTCTTCCTACTCATCTTCGGAGGTTCTCTGGGTGCCACGCCTGACTCTCCCCCACAACAGCAGGAATGGGCTGCACCAGGCATCCTGGAGGCCTCTGCAGAGGCCTCTGTGGGGGAGGGGGAGCAGGGGGAGAGCACACACTCCTGACCCTGGCATTTGATCCCCCAACAGAGAGGCTTAGACATGCGTCAGGTTCAGAGAAACAAGCAGGTATCCCTTGAGGCCTGAGTGGGCTTGAACTCTTCTAGAGTGCTCAGTAGCCTCACTAACCGGCTTCATACACAGCGGCTGGGCGAAACCGTTTTCCACAGATTAGCAAAGGAAGTTCCCGACACTACCCCTGAAAAGGTGGCAGGCTTCTTCATTGTGCATTTGCCTGTCCATGTAAGCAGGCTCATGTGTCAGACAAAAGCTGATTATTCCTTTTTCTGGAGGAAAGATCCTTAGCCTCCAGGACAGAGGAGGGGGTGAGAGAAGGGAAGTGCATAAAACACCTTTTGTTTGCCCTGCTTTGCTGAGCTGATGGAATCCTCTTGTTTAATGGGAGGTGCCAGGGTCACAAGACAGCTCATTTCCGATGAGAAGGGACTTCCTAAGAAGCCAGGAGACAAGGACCGTGAACGTGGTCTGCATGGGTCTGTGGCAGGGGCTGGATCCCTGCTAGGCACGTGGGCTGGCCGATCCCAGGTCTGCTGGCCCCATCTGGTGTTCACTCACCAGTCAGCCACAAAACCGTTTAAAAAGTGTAGTTCTCTCTCCAAGTATAGATTTGGTGCTTCTTTTTCCCGGCTTTAAATAGTAGTTTTAGGTAACAAACCATTCATGTGTCCTACTTTATTAATTTTTTAAGCTACTAGAAGTTCTCTGCACCTGTAATGCACCTACCTCTATGGGGGATGGCTTCGCGGCTTGAACAGTGTAAAGGTTTTGATTAGCCAGAAGAGAGAAGGAAGGGCCCTCCCCTGAAGCTTTTGGAGAGAGCCTGACCCTGCTGATACCTTGATTTTAGGCTTCCAGCCTCCAGAACTGTGAGAAAATACCTTTCTGTTGTTTTATACCACCAACTCACTGGTAATTTCTGCAGCCTTAGGAAACTAATACACCCAAGTCCCACCTACACTCATTCCCTGTCCCACCAGAGGGACGCATGGAACCCTTGGGGACGCACTGGGCTGGGTGTGCTGTGAAGGTCCTTTGCAGTCCCGTGGCTGGATGATGGCCTTCACTGTATCTGTCAGGTGTGATGTAAGCATCAGTGCCCCTATTTATAAAGGTGAGGGAAGGCAGTTTTCATCAGTTCTGAAGGGCACCCTGGTGTGTGCACCTGACTGCTGGGGCTTGGTGGTGCCTCCGTGGCTGTCCACCAGCTGACTTCGGAATCCCTGATCCAGCCTTTGCTGAGCAGAGGGCTGGTGCCTGATGCTCTCTCATGTCTGTTTGTCTTTCTAATGAACTAATTTGGATCACAACCCTTTGATCCCATCCATGGTTTCTAAACCAATCACAGTCTGTTCCCTTGTTTCCCATTTCCACACATTATCATAGGAGAACAGTTTTCCATCGGCATCTGTATTTTCCAACTATAGTGCAGATTGGTGAGTTATCTATCTCATTCTCTGCCTTAGATTATCAGAATCCCATAGACATATTTAATTTGGATTTAAAATATTTAATAAACAGAATGTTTCAGTTCAATCTCTTTTTCACTACTTATCTTTCATTTGCATGAAGAATTTATATTGAATCCTTTATAGTCTGCATTTTAATACATATTCTGCAAGACTGGCCCAAATGCCTGCTCAACCAATACTCATTGAGCGCCTTCTGCATGCCATGCCCCGGGAGCTGCTTCCTCAGGCATACCGGACCACCTGCCCCTGGAGACACAGAGGGGACCGGGGTCCCAGGCTATGAGAACTGGCTTGTAAAGGGGATGTAATGACTTACAATGATGCTGGCTCAGAGAGGGTGCTCAGTAGATGTTTAGTATTTCTCCTTCTCACTCCATGCACAAAGCAGCCTCACACATAGCTATGGAGCCTGGTCCCTTTTAGAATCTTCCTACCGATGTCTTCTGACCCAGAGGGAAGAGAGGCAGTACAGTCCATCCAGGTGAAGGTGCTGAGTTCTAGGTTTCTAAAGACACCCTACCGCCCTCCATTTGCCACAAAGGGTGAGGCACAGGGCACACACACCCTTAGGCTGCTCTGCTTACTCATGCCCAGCAGCCAAAGTGCTCTTCGGGCTTGATTGTACAACACTCTCAAGAATGTGTTCACGCCGAAACTGGTTTGACTCAGTGGATAGAGCGTCAGCCTGTGGACCGAAAGGTCTTAGGTTCGATTCCGGTCAAGGGCATGTACCTTGGTTGCAGGCACATCCCCAGTGGGGGGTGTGCGAGGGGCAGCTGATCGATGATTCTCTCTCATCAATGTTATAACTCTCTATCCCTCTCTCATCCTTTCTGTAAAAAATATATATATGAATGTGTTCACACCTAACACTGGGCTTCTGCCATGACTTTTAAAAACAGCTTTATTGAGATGTGATTTATACATCATGCAATCCACTCACTCAATGGTTCTTAGTATATTTGCAGATATATGCAGCTGCGACCCCAATTATAGGACATTTTCAATACCTCAAAATCACATACCCTTTAGCTAGCATCCTCTATCCCCTCAAGCTCCATGCCAAAAAAAACCCACATTTTTTTTGTCTTTATAAATTTGCCTCTCCGGGACATTTCATAGAATGGCACCACCTTCTAGGCAGCCTTTTGTGTCTGGCTTCTTTCATGTGGCATAATGTTTTAAGACGCACCCCCTGTAGCTGTATCAGTCCTTCATTTCTTTTTATGCCTGGATAATATTCTGTTGTGTGGCATTACCACATTTTGTTTCATCGGTCATCAGCTGGTAGCCACTTGGTTTGTGTTGGCAATTATGAGCACTTTTCTGTACACATTCCCGCACAGATCTTTGTGTGCCTGTTTCTCTTGGTACATGTCTAAAGAGTGCAATTGCGGGGGTCCTAGGATAGCTCTATTTTATCCACGTGAAGAAGAGCCAGACTGTTTTTCCAAAGAGGCCACACCATTTTATAATACATTTCCGCCGCAGGGTCTGAGGGGTCCAGTTTTCCAACATTGCCAGGAGAGGGGTAAGTGATGATGGGCCAGACAAGAGAGTGCAGGGGCGTTCAGATGAGCCCCAGAACACTGCCAGAGGGGCCGGGCCATGGAGGGGGAAGACTTTGGTTTGACTTTTATTTCCAAGTCATCCATCACCAAGATCATTACTTTTCCCGGAGGACACACCTCCCATGCCCAGCAGAATGAGCTTTGTTGGGGAGGCGGGCGTCCCTGCCGGGAGGTGAGCTATTTGGGATGGTGCCTAGGGGCCCACTCCTCCTCATCCCTGTGCTCATAGCCGCAGCCCTGCTGCTGAGGGTGGTTCGCCCAGACGGGGGCCAGGCTCCCGGAATCGGGAACCGGGGAACCGCTCTCTGATCGCTGCCTCTCTCCCTGCTTTCCGCGCAGCCAAGACCTTCGCCGCCGCAGAGTGCCGCCTGGCGGCTGCCGCGGGCATGAGCCGCTACAGCCTGGACCCCGCCGGCCCCGCCTTCGGCCCGCGGGGCCCCGCGCCCGCCGCGCCCTCGCTGTACTGCAAGAGGCAGCACTCCGGAGACGGCCCCCGCACCGGCCCCCTGTCTTCCGGAGGCCCCCCGGCACCGGGGCTGAGGCCCCCGGGCTGCAGCCCCAAGAGGAACGGGACCTCTCTGGAAGGAAACAGATGCGGTAACGTAATGCATGCCTGGACCCCAGCCCCCTCCTGCCTCTCCCTCCTGGGCCGGGCAGGACCACAGCAGATGGGGGAGGAGGGGGCCCTGGCCCTTTGAACGTGGGAACGCTGGGAAACCCGAAGTTTCCATAAGTCCCCTCCTACATGTCTGTGGCTCTTGAACACAGCTGAGGTCGGGCTGTGAGGATAAGCGCAGGACATGGTGTGTTAGAGTAGGCGAGGCTGTAGGAATCAGTAGGCTCCAACGTTACGGTGGCTCAAGTACCACAGAAGTTTTTTTTTTTTGTTCAGGAGACTAAGGAGGGTGTTCCTAGTTGGTGGGTGCATCCTTAGGGGCCCAGGCTCCGTTCTGTTTGTGGCCCTACTACCCCCAAGCCCCCGAGCCCCAAGCACCCAGCAGAGGAGAGGGCAGGAGCAGGAGGAGCAGGCACAGCCTCCCTGGAGCCTGGGCCCGTCACATCCCTCCCGCTCCCGGGTCTTTGGCAGGATCTGGCCATTTGGCCACACGTCCCTCTAAGAAGGTCTGAGAGGCGTGGGCTAGCTCTGTGCCAGGAACCAGATGTTAGTAAAGAGTTTTGTCTTGTGTGGTAGGTGACACCGGCGGCTGCAAATAGATGGGTGGAACCAGAGATCTGCCAAATGCATACAGCACTGGCTGTGACCCCACTTCCGTCTCACCGTCACAGGTTGCTTGTTGGGATGCGAAGTACGAAAGTGCCGTCATTCTAGGGATGGCTTAGCGTCCATTCTGGTGTGTGTGTGTGTGTGTGTGTGTGTGTGAGAGAAATAATTTTCAAACTCCAGTATTTCGTTAGTGAATAGAAGCTATTAGAGCACAGTGGATAATCGCATGGACTGGGAGCCGGATGACCTGGCTGGGACCCTGGATCTGCTGCTTTCTCTTGAGCAAGTCCAACCTTTTGCACGTCTGAGCGTCTCTGTGCCTCAGTTTCCTCACCTGTAAAACTGGAGTAATAATAATAGCACCTACCTCCTAGGTTTGTTGGGAGGATTAAGTAAGTTCACGTGTGTATTTAGTACAAAGCCCAGGCCAAAGTAAGAACTCAACAAAGGTTAGTCATTGCAGATCACATGAGCATACCCCTCAACAGAGCAGCTCATCAACTCAGGGGCTGAGAAGTACTGAGAAAGGAGGCCTAGGCCAAGGAGGGAGAGTCTTAATCCTGCCCCTGCGGAGCCTCCCGAGAGCTGGCCGTCTTTCTTAGCAAGCCACGTTTCCTCCTGAGCCTCGACTCTCTCCGCCAGCAGCCCTAAGAAGCCACAGCTATGAGCACTTTCTTTGTGGGACCCAAGGTCCTCACACACTCCCCTCAGCAAGCCTCACCTATCCCAGACGCGCCTCTGCTGGCTGAGGATGGAGAGGGAAGCAGGGGCCCCGTGACGGGGAGACAGTCCTGAGGGCAGAGCATAGACCCCCTCAGCTAGGGTGGGGGCTTTGGCCAAAGGTAGAGGAACCTGGAGGCCACTCCCCAACACTGACACTCAGGGCCATGGGCCGGGAAGAAAACTCCAGAAGCGAGAGACGCTGTTCCATCTGATCTCTGAGAACAAGAGAAGGGAACAAGATCTGGCACAAACCAATGTCTTAAAGTAAATGAGGGGGCAGCATTTATTTCCCAGGTTTATCCCCAGAGTCAGAGTAACATCTGGCATATGGTTGGTGTTCAGTGAACATTCACTGTACCTGCCCCCAGAGCCCTCATGTGGCTCCTGGCTCTCAAAACCCTCATTCCTGTGTCCCTCTGGCCTTCACATGTTTCTTCTCTCTTCTCTCAACCTCTTCTCCTCAACCCAACTCCCACTCTCAGGGTGGTGATCACAGGATACCACCAGATTGAACTGACTTGTAATCCTAAGCGTGCTGCCTCTAGCTGGTGAAATCTCGGGCCCTGTGTCGTAAGGGTAGGATTTCAAGCAGTGGGAGGAAGACACGATTTGGGTGGAGAAAACCATCACTTGCTGTAGAAATGTCTGCCCGTCCCAGTCCATCCGGTCCCCCTGGACGAGGGAGACCCAGGGCACATCAGAGGGGTCTCAAGGGAGCTCAGCACCCAAAGCCCTTGCTGGCTCTTTCCCACAGACCCTTGAGTTTTAACCATCCTCCAGTCCTTTATTTTGATCTCCACCAGCTCTTTGTTCTGGAATTAGACCTGGACTCCTGCCTCCCAGGGATTTGGGGAGAAACAGCCCTCCAGTTCCCACTGCCTTCCATTCCAAGCAAACCACCAACTGTATCCTGACTATCGAAGGTCTCTTTGACAACTTAGACATATTAGTGAGAACTTTGCCTGATACCCTGAAAATCAGAGTTGTTCATAGTCAGCAGATGCCCTCGGGCAGTGGGATGTTCAGAAACACACAGCCGCCAGCCTCCCCGGAGCAAAGCTGCTGCAGGATTAACAGCTGAGATACGTGGCCGAGCCTCTGGGACACAGGGACACACTGCCAAAAAATGAAATTGTTTACCCTTTGTGGGTGCCTTAACTCTTTAGTGCTCCCCAAATCCCTTTTACTCAGTGCTTCCTTTGGGGTGCGAAATGGAACCACAGATACCAGAAAGAGCTAGGCAGCCATACATACTCTCAGCATCCAGATGAAGGAAGTGGGTGGGAAGGGTCAGGGGACAGAGGGCAGTGCTGGCATCTCCGGACTGAGGTTTCCACGTCTGCTTACTTCTCATTGGCCAGAATTTAGTCACATGGCCATGAGCTGCAAAGGAAGCTGGGAAATATAGTTTCAATTCCAAGCAACCATGGTCCTGGCGGGGAAATCAGGGCTTCTGTTACAAAGGAAGAAACAGGAACAAAAGCTATTGGCTAGGCAAGTGGCAGCTCAGCCACACCCCACGATTAGATGTGTTCTTTCTCTCCTGCTTCCTCCGCTGGCACTCTGTTTCCTCTTCTCTAGTACTTCCTCCCTCCGGTCCCATGGTAGGAGCCAGACCCTCAGCTTTGGGAGGTTTCTTGCTCGTATTTGTCTCCTCTGCAACCCCAGAAGGGGGGCCTGCTTGTTTGAGGCATATGCTGCATTTCTATTTAATGAGCAACTAACCCTCTGAGGTTCTTGGGAAGGGCAGAGGGGATGGGAGCAGACAGGACGCCAATACCCCAATCTCTTTAATCAGGGCCCCTTTGTATTTGCAGAGTGGGGCTTTACGTATGCTTTGTTTGAACGTAATTTGCACAGCTAACCACATTTGGAAGCCATGGAAATAAACCATGTGGGAACAAGTAGAGAGAAAGCTATGGGCCGCCATAGCCATTTGTCACCTTGCTGCCTGCTGGGGGCCCTCTAGAGGGCCATTAGTTTTCCCTGTGCACAAGGAACTGCCCCATATTGCTCTGAAATAGCATCCCCAGTGAAAGCAGTTGGTATGAAGGAACCAAGCCCCTTTAAGAGGGTTTGACCCAAGTCGTAAACCTTGGAAGGAATCTAGCAATGAATTCCCCCCTACCCCCCCGCCCCATGGTGCCAATCAAAATGGATTAAAACTACAGAGGCCAGAACACAGCATGAGGCTGCAGGCAGAGGAATGGATATGGACGACGTGACAAAGCTGCGAACCTTCCCTCTTCCCTCTCACGTGAGCACTTTGCCTGGCCGCCTGCTGTCTCGATACATCACACCCATCACCTCTGCCAGTGGACTCGGAAGGGATGTCATCACAGGACACATTTACCTGTTGTGTTTTGCTGATCCTCGGGTGAAAACTCAAGAGCTCTCTCCCGTCTCTCCTCCCCGACATAATCACTGAGAGCCGTAAAGAGGCTGCAAACAACAAAAGCGTCCTGACTTTTGCCTTTATAACAGGACGTGCTGTAGAATTCCCAAACACAACTTCAGGTCCAGGCTTCAGAATCAAGGAACAAAGTAAATCAGACATTGTTATTAGCACCCACTTGCTTCCCATGAGTTGGAGTTTGCTTTCGTAGTGTATGGCGTCCGGGTGACGAACAGACAATTCCGCCGGAACAAGGATGGGAACAGCACTGTATGTGATGTGAGTGGGTGGCTGAAGGCAGGACAAGGGTCTGTTCATTCTGGGGAGAAGAGTTGCACCCACTAAGACTTAGAGAGATGCCAGCAGAAACTTACTGAGCACAACATGCCAGGGGATCGTCTCGGGTCTAAGGATGGAGCTGACAGGGTGCAGCTCCAGAGACAAACAGAACAATTGCACACACTGAATCACAGCTGTGACTTGCCCCACAGGACAAGTATGGCTGCTATGGGAGAGTCCGGTAGGGAGAGCTTGCTGGGCTTCCTCTGGGGAGTCAGGAAAGGTTTCCCGGAGAGGTGACCGTGGAGCCAGCTGGAAGGGGAAGCAGGAGCTGGCTGGGAGGGGAAGCAGGAGCTGGCTGGGAGGGGCAGTGGGGACAAGGGGTGAGATCAAGCTGCGTGCCCAGAGGCCACAGTGGTGGCAGAGGATGAATCAGCCCTGCTGGGCCTCCCTTCAGGCCTACGGTCTCTAGAGGCATCCTCTCTTCTCATACAAACATGGCAGCTGGTCTTGAAGGAATAAAATTAAAACTTGATTACAATCTAAGAATTGGGCAGGCCCTCTTCTGTCTCCCATCTCCCTCCCCTCATAGGAAAGACTATTGTGATAGAAACAATGAAAGACAACACTTTTAAGTTGCCTGATGCTGCCCAGATGGCGGGCTAACCTGCCACCTTATGCACTGCCTGCCTTGTTTCTAGGAAGGGTGCATTCTATGGAGCAGGTGAGGAGGAGGAGCTGAGGACAGATCTACCCTCCCCATTGCCTTCACCCTGTCTCCTCCCAGCCCAGCTCTGGCTGCTAAGGGGATCTACAGGCAGCCCGAGGAAAGGCAGCCTAGTCCCCTTTTGGGCACTGATGGGCTTTCCTTCAGAAGCTTCTGATCTGGCTCCAGCCCAAAGCTACACATTCACTGATTCTTACAATATTCGTGAGAAACAAGTTGAAGAAACAGCAGCCCATAGAGAATGATCAGGGCCAGGAAAGGGACCGGGAGCCCGCTGTTGGTTCTTCATCCCGTAGGCTTTGCACATGGACACAGATGAAGGTCTCAGGTGAAGCTCTGTTGTGTGAGCGGCTAACCCGTGAGTGTTGCAAAGGGCAGCCTGTGGTGTAAAGGGGCTATGCAGTGTCTCAGGTGGAAGGGACCTTCGAGGTCCTTCCCAGCTCCCTTATTTCACACCCAAGAGGCACAGAGTAGCTGGTGGGCGGTAGGGATTTCTGACTCCGAGCTCATTGCTCATTCCCCTCTTCTCGTGACCCCATTGTTAGCTAAGTCATTTATGAATGCACAAAAGGGAATTACGCATGTGCTTGTGGGTGTGTGAGGCAGGAGAGACTCGGAGGTAGCAGTACAAGTGCTTGTGCTGTGAGAATGCTGGGATTGCTTTGAACCCTGATTCCTAGTCATTCTATTCCCGGGGAATGTGAATTCCGCTTTAGAAAGGACCACAGCCATCTTTAGTTACACATGGGTTTCTCTTTCCCGGCTCCAGCAGCCCAGGGAGCGGACAGGATCGTGCACTGCGTCCTCCGTGCTGGAGAATGCTGTCTCCCTAATGACCCCAGGCGAGCATGCTGTACGCTCTGTTCTTTTAGGAGCAGGATTTTTTTTTTTTCACGTCCATCACATCTCACCACTGTCCATCACCTCTGCCTGGCCATACCCGTCCGTCTTCCTGACACCTTCACAGCGCTGGAGGGGCTGGCGTGTCTGTTATCTCTGCGAGCAGAGGCCACTGCAAAGGCTTTGCAAACCTGCTACCTACCGGAAAGCTCCATTTCTCTTCCTTCTAGAGGGAGTCCGTGTGCTTTGGAGCTTGAGCAACTCCAGGGGTGTGACAGGCCTCCTGCTGCTCTGTCTTGTGTGACCAAAGGCCCCTCAGAGAGGCTCCCAGGCCCGGCTGCAGCCCTTCCAGCCTGGAGAAGTGAAAAATGCTGCAGTGAGCAGCAGGCGCCAGGAGGGGGCCTCTCTCCCTCCAGCGCCATCCCCTGGCGCACCGCCTCCTAGAGACACACACCTCCCTTGCTCTGCCCTTCCTGTTCCCTGGCCTTGCTCAGAGGAACTCAGGCTCCCGCAGAGGAGGCTGTGAGTCGGCCTGGAATCTTTTCATTCTATCAAATACAGGAAATTAGATTTGCCCTCTGCTCTGATCACTCTAAAATCATTCTTGGCACCGTGGTCTTCCAGCCTTTGAAACCAGAGCACCTATTATCACGCTGACTAATGCCGAAGCTTCGACGGGGTGGGATCCAGAGGCAAGTACGATTCCGTGATGCCTCATCCCCATGTTGAGTGCAGATGTCTTTAAAGGCTGTGGAGTCACCTCTCATGAGCACACATCTGCATGCAGAGGGCTTGGGAGGGGGGTGGGGGGTGGGGAACACGGCGACAGTTTCCCGGCAAAAGTGCCCGTGCCGGACAACCTCAGGGGCCTCTTCCAGCTGCAACAAGGAAAAGGCAGGGCAATGTCCACGAAAGCCCAGTTCTCAGCCAAACCATTACGTTGTGAGGCTGTGCTTTTCTCGGGCACCGTACAGTGTGGAAGGAAGAAGGGACGCAGAGAACCATGGCACCCTGAGGCTGGAGAAGGGAACAGAGCGAAGGCTCCCCCACTTCTAAGACAGGATTGTTCTGTGGGAAAGCGGCCTCACTAGTCAGAGCCTCAGCTTTTTTTCTGGCCTGAAAAGGGGATTAAGGATTATTACCCACACAAGGCTCTCGTATGAGTTATTTACACTGTTTCTGCGAAAGATACTGAATCATTTTACATTGATTGACCCAGTTTTTACAGATACATACTTAGAGCAATGGAGAAGCCAATGATTACAAACCCCGTAACGAGAGGACAACGTTTCCCACCAAACAGTTTGCCTAGGCTCCACCCGCATCAGCACCCAGCTCAAGGTGGACAAGGGAAGCTGAAGGAACACTGGGTCACAACCAGAGTGCAGCCACTCACAGCCCTGCTCTGCCACAGGAGGTTACTCAGACCAGCACCTTGGACTTGAGGGCCCGGTGGGAGCAGATAGGTGCTGAGGCCCTTGTTCTGGTGTCTAATGGTCTTGCTCTCCATGTTCACCCATCCAGCCTCAAGCCCTTCTCCAGACGGGCAGGATGGCAGGCGGCCAAGGAGCAGGAACCCGTCCACCTGGACCGTGGAGGACGTGGTACGGTTCGTGAAAGACGCTGACCCGCAGGCTCTGGGGCCTCATGTGGAGCTCTTCAGAAAGCACGTATGTGTGTGGTGGGCCCGGCCCCGGGGAGGTGGGGTGGGGAGGCATGGGAGGAGGGTGAGGTTCAGGGAGCTGGGGGCTGGGGGTGGTTCTGAACTGAGCCCTGGGGGCACCACTCAAGGAGGCCGGTTCTTCTCAGAGCGCAACCACCCCTTCGTTTGTTTTAGAGGGATATTTGCCCCATCGGTTCCATCATGTTGTCCTTTAACAGGAGTGCCTGTTTTCCTGCCCATCCATCCATCCATCCATCCATCCGTGCATTCAACAAATATTTTCAGCACACCTACGATATACCAGGCAAACTATTAGTGCCTGGTCCTAAGCAGTTTGAGGGTTAAGGGAGAAGATGCATCAAACTGTCTAGCATGGTGCCTGGATTGTAGATAGCCTTCAGTTAGCAGGCATTCTTACAATCATGTAGGAGATCCTGAAATATGTAAAGGTGGTAAATGAAAAAAGAAAAAAAAAAAGATAAGAATTCATATTTAACCTGCCAAGCTTTCTATGTCAGTTTTCTATCATATTGCTGTTATCCTCAATTCCCACAAATGTAGTAGCTATGAATAGCAATTCACTTCCCGGTCCTGGAGACCAGAAGTCCGAGATCAGCCTGGTCTTCATCTGGTGAGAGCCCCTTCCCAGGTTGCAGATTGTCATCTTCTCGTTGTGTAAGGACACTGATCCCATTCTTGAGGACTTCACCATGGTGACCTAATTACCTCCAAAGTAACCACCTTTTGGAGGTGAGGATTTCAACAAATGAATGGGGAGGGGTCAGGGGACACTCAGTCCATCACACACTTCTTGCTCATTTAGCCCTAGATCGGATGAGGAGATAGACATCATAGGTGAGATATGGGGACCCTGCTGGAGTTATGTTTAATTCCTTCAACCCTGATAAAGTAGGAATATGACAGATCCACTGTATTAAATTACCCCAGGGAGAGGAGCATATAACATGTTTGCTCCATCTTTTAAAGAAGGTATTGCGTGGGGACTAAGAACATGTTCCTAAGTGCATCCACGTTCCCTAACCTCACCCCCTGACCACACTTTCACTGTCGCCACCGCCTGATCGCTCTGACCATCTTCTGGGTTTCCTGTGTTCTGACCCTGTTCCACCAGGAGATTGACGGCAATGCCCTCTTGTTGCTGAAGAGTGACATGATTATGAAGTACCTGGGCCTGAAGCTAGGACCTGCGCTGAAGCTCTGTTACCATATTGACAAACTGAAGCAGGCCAAGTTCTGAAAGTTTCTAGAAGACAGAAGCAAAATCCAGACAGCAGATCTCGAGATCATCTCTGCCTTACCAACATCCAGCCACCATGGAAAAACAGATTCTCTTCTCAAAACAACAGGCACAGAGACGGGGTCTTTTTACAAAACGCCTTGCCTTTTCCAAAAGTCAACCTGGCCCCATTTCAAAGGCTCTTTTGTGTTAATGATTTGCCAAAAAAAAATTACAAAAATGCCTATTATCTGTAACATTCCTAATAGGTTGGTTGCCATAAGAGTGGGTCCTATTTGGACAATGAGAGTGTGGGGAACTGAGTGCTATCGCCCAAGGTGAACCCTGGAGGGTTCCACGGGTGCGAAAAGACCTTGGTCTCGCTCTGCAGGCCTTGTGGCCACGCCCACCACAGCACCACCTGTCTTCGACTGTGACCCGGGGACGTATCAGTGTGAGCCTTGCTTGATTTAGCTCTGAAGGCTGTCTTTGGAGATAAATGCCCCCCCTTGCACTATCTGGAAAACTTGAATTCTTTTGCTCTCCGAAAGAGAAGAAAAAAAACAACCCATTTCTATTCCCAGTGATCTGAAGTACTGTGTTATCCCACTAGAGGGCAGGCTGCTAATGAGATTTCAGGACCCTCACTCCTGCAGGCTGATCATTCTGTCCTCAGTAGGAGGGTTAGGGCTTCTGTGAGCAAGATCTAGCCTACACAGCATAGGGAATTTATTCCAAGGTCAGCACCGCGGATTGCAGACGGATTAGGGAAGACCTAATTACCTCCCAAAGGTAATTGGAAAGAAACCATCTTCTAGAAGGTTCTGGTTTTTAGCCAATCATTATTACGGACTGATGCACAAGCAGCGAAGGCAAGAAATTGAAAGTTCGTTCATCCCAGATGGGGCTTTGGAGTTTCTTCTCTTCCAGAATCCTTACTGAGGTGTCGATACGCTGGCCCGCCGAACAGTCTTAGTGACATTTAGCCATGGGTGTTTCTTTAAAAAACAAGAAAAATGTCTCAACTGAGCTTTGAAATGGGAGTGTTGGTTGCTAGTTACATTGCTGGATTGTGTAGTTGTATCTGTGGCTAATTTTTCTAGTCCTTAACAAACACGCAGACATGCGATTATTGGGTTTAATTTCGTTTACAAATAGGTTTCCCCTCTTCGCGGTGGAGTAATGGGAAAAAATTGATTTTCTACCCCTTGCAGCTGTGTCCAGGGAAGGACGGTGCATCCACAATTTGCTAGACAGAAGGACAACTTTGTCTTCATGCTTCTTTCTAGCCCTTTCCCTCTCTCTTTTTTCCCTTCCTCTCTCACTGAACAGGAAACATATCTTTAAAATGAATTCACCTTTGCCAGGGGCATTTCCTCTTTCTTAAAAGATAAATAAATAAAAACCCGTAGTTGGAGATGAGGAGATGAAGACCAGACTTTGCCATCTGAAGGGTGAGGATCAAAAAGAACCCCAGGGTTTCTCTTGGCCCAAATACCTCCAGGGGGCAGCCTTTGCAGGGGTCTCGGTGGGAGAGTGGAACCGGCTGGGATTTCTGCCCCTCACCCCTCAGCCAGGTGCCCTTGTGCAGGACATGGCCTGCCCAAACCCCAAGGCAGCCCCGGAGAGCTTTGGAAACTGATTCTTTGGAAACTGGTTAGCATTAGATGAAGATCATAAGAAATACTCTGTGCCATGCTGTGAGATGTCCGGAATCCCCTCAACAACCCACACTTCTCCACTGATTCTGCTCAACCCTCTGGAACTCATGGTGCCTCTTCCATCAACATATACCTCATTGAGAGACTTTCACAGCCCCCCCACCAACCCTCACTAGCACCCCCCTCACTACAAAAACATGAACACTGTGCCCCCAGATCGAAACCATCCCCAAACAACGCCAAAGGGGTGCTGTGGGTAGTTTTCAGGGGTGAGAGATGTGGCCATCTCGAGTCTAGGGGAACACTGGATCCATGTTCACGTGCAACTGCTCTCACGGAGGTGCTATCTCGTTTTGTATTAAACTTGAAGCAGGACAGATTGCTGAAGCCATGATATTTAAGGTTTGACTTTTTGGAAATCTCATTCCTCTGAAAACGAATGCTGCCGTATCAGAGAGCAGCGCGGGGAGGGAATTCTCCCTCGCCTGTTTCTGCACTGGAATGCACTTAGCCGACCAAACCATTGCGGCACTGCTGCAATAATAATTAATTTTCACCCCTTTCAGAAATCTTGTCAAACCAGGCAGCCACATAGCTCAGCAAATGTAAAACATGCCAGGCCATTTCCTCCAAACAGACCTTAGAGTCGCTCTTGTCTAAATGTGAGCTTATGTGGGGCCCCGCACTTGCACAGATGTTGTAGTTGTTATGCCACTGTCGTAGCTTTGCTTCAGGTTGGGACGTATAATGCTATAGTTTTGCGTGTTTTCAAATTAGAGAGTGTGTGTTCATGTTCCAAATATTTTCAATTATACTTTTCTTTAAACACTTTTTAAAAAAAATATAGAGACAATTCTATTGCCTAAGATGTTTTAAATGTTTTATGAAGCACATTATTCCTTTGGTGAAGACTTCAGGTAAAAGATGTGTGTGTGTGTGTGTGTGTGTGTGTGAGAGAGTGTGTGTGAGAGAGAGAGAGAGAGAGAGAGAGAGAGAGAGGGGGAGTGAGAGAGAGAGAGAGAGAGAGAGAGAGAGAGTGAGAGAGACAGAGAGAGAGAGAGAGAGAGAGAGAGAGAGAGAGAGAGAGACCTGACACTGTAGTTGAAGAGCCTTAGGAAGTGGCTGGGAGTGTATCAGCTGTTGTTTGTTTGGTTAAATGTGTGTCTCAAGCTTTGTAACAGGAAGGCAGAAAGAGCTTACCTTCTATTGCCAGCAGGGGGTGCCCTGGAGGCAGCTGGGGGCTTCTGGGCCTACCCAACTCGAGATGACTGAGGCTCACTGTGACCAAAGGGGAGAGGCCAGCCAGGGAGACCTGTAGGCAAGGAGCAATATTCTTCAGCGTCTGGTTCACTGCCCACCAGGGTGGACACTGGCTCCTGGCATTTCCGTCAGCCGGGCTGCCAAGCTTGTTTCCTTCCAGCAGAAAAAAAGGAGTGAAGGGCTCCGCTGGAGAATCAGTACGATACTGAAATACACAGCAGAGGAATGCCGAGCTGAGGTGGGCGTGCTCGAAAAGGAAATCAGTGAGGGGGGTGTGACAAAACTATGAATTTCTTAGGAAAACAAGAAAAGAGCACCTCTTCTAACACTCCCAGCCCTTGAAGCTGCAATAGTCTATTTTTGTATTTACGTCTTGTATGAGACGTTTTTTACTTTTTTAAATATTAAAATTATTTTAAGTTGTTTTTTGAGATTGTTTTAGGAGCACTTTGTCATATATCTGAAGGTAGTTGGAAATGCTCGGAGGTGACTCGGAACCGGAATTTAGTCATTGTCAGGAGGTCTCGAAAGATGAGAAATGATGTTTTCTCTCTGAAGAAGCAGCCAGGTTTTCATGTGTGCGAGCAGAAGGCGGTGCTGTTCGATGTCTGTTCTAATGGGACACTTTTTCAATTCTTCTCCGATGGGGTCTCATAAAAAAAAAAAAAATCTCAGATATCAAAACATGGGATGGTGAAGGAGTAGATACATTTTTAAAAAGGCAATCTCTTGCTAAGGAGAAAGTGAAAGCCTGCCCAGGGTTGTGGTTCAGGAACACACTCCAAGCGCGGAGGAGAGCTGTCCTGTGCCACGTGCACCTCCTGCGGCAGGAGGCCATGCCCGGGCGGGCGCTGCATCTGTTCAGGTGGTGGGACACACAGGTGCCTGCAGACGCCCCACCCTGTCACTCCAGCAGCCGCACCCACCCTGCACCTGAGCTCCTCCCGGGAGGAGCCTGCACTCCCAGGGTGTCTGTCCTCCCTCCTCCTCCGAGATGATTCCTTCACGGACAATTGGAAGCCGGAGTTTTGGGGAACGCAGCATTTATTTGAAAGGGAATCGCTCTTATTTATTGCCACCAGTTAAATATTACGGAAACATGTCTGCTAACAATTTGCTTTGTGTAATTTGCTCTAATGCTAATGGACAGCAGCTGGGACACTTCCTGGGGTGAATTCCTCTGCGGTCGCCGCGGTATGCTCACACATGGACGGCACCGGGACGCTGCGCTCCAGAAGGAAGCCCGCGCCGCTCGCCCCGCGCCAGGAAATTCCCCCGACGGGGAAGCAAAAGCACGTTTTCAGGGGAACATTTGCTGTCCCTGCACCCTCTGCTTCCCCACGCAGGGCCCCAGACCTGCGCGCCGAAACCCTACAGGGAGAGCTTGGGGTTCCAGAGGAACAGACAGCACCCAGAGCTGAAGAATGACACCCTCCTCCGGGTCCGAGGGCTGGGCCAGGGTTGGTTCTCAGAGGCAGGGGCAGGAGAGGAGCAGAGACCCACTCAAGAGCCCAAGCTTGTTCAGCAGCCGATTAAATAATGATGTCAGGCAGTGCGGGGACAGAGCATCCTTCTGCCTAAAGCAAGCATGTCAAACTCGAGGCCGGGGTGGGGTGGGGGGTCGGGGGAGGCCCCCATGCCATGCTCGTCCTAAACTTGCAGGCGTCCTCAAACTTTTTAAAGTGGGGGCCAGATCACGGTCCCTCAGAGAGCTGGAGGGCCGGACTATATGAACTACTAATTCCTACTGTAACACCTCGGCTGCGCTCACTGCCCAAAAAACCTGGCGGGCCGGATCAGACTTCTCTGCGGGCCGCATGTGGCCCGCGGGCCGTAGTTTGAAGACGCCTGGACCTAAAGGGTCTAAATTCCACTTAGATTTGCTCTGGGCTGCCAGCCCACCATGCTCTGCTCTGTAGCTTGACCTCATGACCTGAGCCTGAGAGGCACTTCCGTGGAGGCTTATGGCAAAGGCCAACCCAAATGCCATTCCTTGGAGCCTCCTGTGAAACCTCCCCTCGGCCTCACTTCTCCAAACAGCCCACTGTGAAACACCAGACCCGCCGTGGGCGTCACTTCAGAGTAAGCGTGTGCGACCCGAGGCAGCATCCTCTCCCCTCCCCACGGCCCTGAGAAAAGGCCCTGCCCGGCCACTTCCCATGCGGAGGAGCTCACTCCCATAGGAAGTGGCTTGTTTCTTTGTTGGACAGCTCTGGTTGTGAAAGTTATTTCTCAGGGAGACACAGATG